CCTTGCCCATTCGGACAGTCCTCCCTCCCTCCCTCCCTCCCTCCCTTCCTTCCTCCCACTCCTTTCTTCCCTCCTTCCCTTCCTCTTCCCTCCTCCCTCCCTCCCTTCTCTCCTTCCTTCCCTCCTTCCCTCCCCTCCCTCTTTTGTCCCATATCCCTCCTCCCTCCTTTCTCTCAAAACCCATCTTCTAGCTAGGCTGAGCTGTTGCAACTTGCAGATGGTCCTTCACTTGCAACCCTGAAAAAAGCGAATGATGGTGGGGCCAGCCAGGGGCACGATTTGCCAATTCTCTGAACTGCGACGAATCGTAACAAATGGTTCTGTAGAACCAGTCTGGACCGGTAGAATCCCACCCCTGCTTCATCTGCTTTCAGAGGGGGCAAAAATTGAAAGGGCGGCCAGGGTGGGTGGAAAAGGATGACTAGCATTTGGCCAGTTAAAAGGTTCGCGTGAAACGAGACTCAGTTGTGGAAGGGGCTTCCAGACTGTGTTTTAATTGCAGACGTGCCCAAAAACGACCCTGACATTCTGCAATTTTATGAAAACTTTACATTACTTAAGTGGAGAAAGATTTTGCTTCCGTGACTTCTAGGGCCAGGTGCTGTCGGCCGAGATCACCCTTGGCCCTTGCAGAGTGAATCTGACCCTCACACCAGCCATTCTGGGCTGCAAATCTAGCGATTGATGAGTATGAGGATAGCAGTACAAGATGCTTCTGTTGCCTTTGTCATCAAAAATAAAACAATTTGTGCAGCTCAGGATAATTTTGATTTAGTGAACATTACATGAACAATTCAGTTTTCTGGGCTTGTCCAGCACCGCGTTCCCCTAACTGAGTACATGAGATGGGTTTGCACCCTCGGTGTTCAACAGGGATCGGCTACGTTGCGGTTTGATGTATTGTATGAATCCAACTTTTGCGTTACGTGGGTGTGCTGCATTGAGAGATTCGCCTTGTGGAGGGACTGGACTCTCAGGAAATACGCCATGCGGCTCTGTATTAATCATGATATCCGTGATAGGCTGGAGGCTAAAAAGGCATGAGGGGGTCTTGTTTTCCTTTTTTTCCTGTTAATCAGGGTTACTAACGGGATGTTGCACCGTTTTCACCATGGTGTGACTTCCTTTACTAAATACATACTATGGGTCCCAGCTCTTATCTCTGCCATGATCACAGTCTGTAGGTTCAGTAAGTATTTGGTTCCAGATTCCCCAACACGGGTCTTGAAAAATTGGGCACCCTGAGAAGAGTTTGATTTACTGCTGGGTTCTACACAGAGTGAGCTGAGGGAAGAAGAAGGAAATGGCGCCATTTTGTCCCTGGCTCTCCTCTGCTAGGGTAGAGGAGACTTTCGTTTCCTCTCGCATTCGGCACAAACGCTGCGGGTGTAACTAGCGAGCAGTCCCGATCTTTTGGGAGACACGGATGGCGATGCTGGGTGGTCCTTTTAAGTTTTAGAGGATGTTCTCCAGTCTGTAGCCGTAGCCTATGACTTGGTCCATGAGGTCTGGCAGCAGCTCTCGGTAGATCAGGGTGGGCTTCAGGGCCCAGTAAGGATAAAAGACCTCACGGTAACGCAACACTCCGCCCCTCACAATCCGCTGGGCACACTCTTCCTTGGGGCTCGGCTTCTGCGTGATTTTGTTTCCCACGGACTTCACGGCCATTTCTGCAGAAAGGAGCAAAAAGATGGGTAGCTGGCCCGACTGGAGGGCGCTGGGTTTGGGCAAGCGAGGGTTTCGACGTGTCACTCACCCGTGTCGATGTAGCCCAGCACAGCCACAGTGATGGGCAGGTCCATGTTCCGCAGGCGCAACTCGGTGCGCAGCGAAGTGAAGAACCCTTCCACGGCGAACTTAGCTGCTGCGTAGGAGACGCTGAAGGGGCCCGGAACACGTCCTTGAGAGGAAGAAAGAGAGGTTGGCATGGATGGAGGAACAGTTTGCTTGTTCCCCCTTCTCTCAATCTCTCCCCCGATGGTACGCTCTTCCGTGTTTAGTTTAGTTTATTGCCATTGCACCTCGTACAATGAAATTAAGTGCCATCTTCAGTGTCTATTATGACTATGAAAATAAACACAAACACACATCCTTCGCATTCTATACAATTGAATGGAAAACCCCTGATACTGCATTAATATTGCACCATACAGTAGAATTCAACAGAGCTACTGTCCTGGGATAGAAGCTGTTTTTCAGCCTCTTTGTTCCTTGTTTTGATTATCCTGTACCATCTGCCAGATGGTAATAGTTTGAAAAAAAGGGTGCCCAGGATGAGATGGATCTTTGAGAATGTTCTGAACTTTCTTTGTCCACTTTAATAAGGTAATTCTTAACTTAGAATCATTATGGAGCCTGGTTTTGGAGAAAACCAGAAGTGCCAGTTTTGGGCAAAATCCTTGTCAAAGGCAGCCAAGCCAGGTGACCAACAATGGGATGCTGCAAATGGCCACAGATGTGGCTGTGTGGCCGAGCACTCCAACTTTGGTCATGTGTCTGTGAGTGAGGGGAGGGGGACCGTTGGAACTTTGAATCCAAGTGGTAACTAGCTTCAAGGTAGGTCTGCTGTAACAGTCACTAATGTTGTGGCCCACCAGCGGTCAGCGGAGCTGGTGGAAGACTCAGACAGTGAGGAGTCTGGCGAGGAACATGGGCTCTGGAGTCTGGGGAAGGCTCTGACGAGGGCTCTGCGTTGGAGGCAGAGATGGGGCCAGGGCCGTCCGACAGTTATCAGCTGCCTTCGGAGTCGGAGATCAGTGGGGCAGAAGAACAGCTGGGGCCTGTTCCCAATGTGCGCATGTGCAGAGCTGCCAGAAGAAGGGAACAGTTAAGGAACAAGGGCCGATTTGGGAGTAAGGGGTTTGGTGGATGGTGAATGGCCCCTCCCACAGGGAATAAAGAGGAGCGAAAGGGGAGTGGGGTTTCCAGGAGACAATCAGTTCATTTAATTAGGGTGAAGTTTTGTTTGAGACTCCTTGCCAAGTATTTCCTGGTACAGCGTTGCGCTTGGAAGCTATCGGCCTGGCAACTCTCCAAGACTGATAAGGTCTGTAGTTGTAAATTCACCCTTGAAAAACTGTTTGCTGGGACTTTGCTGGATGTGAATGACAGGAATTCACATTAGCCTATTAAAAAGGGGTTTTGTCGGGCCGAGGAATCTGCTTCGGGATTTTGTGAAACCCAGGTCAGAACAGCTAAATGACCATCACTCTGACTTGACAGTGATGTGTGGGTCGAGCATAGCTAGTGACTTGTTCATGAGCTGATTGCATCTCTGCCTTGCAAAGAAACCCAGCCCCAAGGGGTGATGTGCAATGAGTTATTAAAGCCTACTTATTATAGTAGCCTTCTGGAGAAGAAAGTCCATGGCAACACTTAGAATGAGAAGAGCAGATAAAAATCAAGAGTGAAACAAAATCAACAAATCGAAAGGGCTCCTTGAAATGCACTGACAAAGGCAGAAGTCTTCCCCGTCTCGAAAGACCTTTGTGTCGTCACCATCAGACGAGCCTCATCTGGGGATTAAGGGCAATAAAGAGAGAGGTTCCCCGGGGACTTCTGGAGAAGGGGCTGCTGCAGGTGGATCTGGTAAACCACATCTGGAACTGGAAGGGTTGTGCTGGGTGCAAATTGGTGGGGGGGGAGGTTGCCAAGGAGGTCTGTGGGAGGGAAATTTGTGAGAGGAACGTGAGAAGGGAGTGTAGTTGGCAGGACAAGAATCAATGGGTGGAAACTATTCAAGAAGAGAAGCAACCTCGAATTAAGGAGAAACTTCCTAGCAGTGAGAGCAATGAACCAGTGGAAGAGAAGTTGTGGGTGCTCCATCACTGGAGGTTTTTCAGGAGAGACTGGGCAGCCACCTGTCTGAACTGGTATAGGATCTCCTGCTTGAGTAGGAGGTTGGACTAGAAGACCTCCAAGGTCCCTTTCAACTCAATTCTGATTGGTTGATTGATTGATTGAATGGAATGACTTGATTGAGAAAGTGGTGGATGTATGGAATGGATAACAGATAACAGATAACAGATAATCAGAGTTGGAACGGACCTTGTAGGTCATCTAGTCCACCCCCCTGCCCAAGCGGGAGACCCTACACCATTTCTGACAAATGGCAGTCCAGTCTCTTCTTGGAAGTCTCAACTGATGGCGCTCCCACAACTTCCGAAAGCAACTTCTGTTCCATTGGTTGATTGTTCTCACTGTCAGAAAGTTTCTCCTTATTTCTAGGTTGAATCTCTCCTTGTTCAGTTTCCATCCATTATTCCTTGTCTGGCCTTCAAGGGTGCCTTGGAAAATAGCCTGACCCCTTCCTCCCTGCGGCAGCCCCTCAAATACTGGAAGACTGCTCTTATGTCTCCCCTGGTCCTTCTCTTCAGCCATGCCCAATTCCAGCAACCATTCATCATATGTTTTAGCCTCCAATCCCCTAATCCTCTTGGTTGCTCTTCTCTGCACTTTTTCTAGAGTCTCAACCTCTTTTTTATAGTGTGGTGACCAAAACTGGATGCAGTGCTCTAGGTGGGGTCTTACTAAGGCTTTACAGAATGATATTAGTACTTCCCTTGATCTTGATTGTATCCCTCTGTTAATACAATTTAGGATTGCATTAGCTTTTTTGGTGGCTGCTGCACACTGCTGGCTCCTATTTAGCTGGTTGTCCACTAAGACTCCAAGATCCCTCTCACAGTTCCTGCTGCTAAGCCTGGTTTCACCCAGTCTATATGTGTACTTTTGGTTTTTCTTGCCTAAGTGTAGGACTTTACTTTTCTCTACATTGAATTTCATTTTGTTAGATAGGTCCCAGTGTTCGAGTCTGTCAAGATCCATCTGGATCTTGAGCCTATCTTCTTGGGTGTTGGCTATTCCTGCCAGC